TGTGACCTGGGAATGTGTCTAATCAAATGAGCCTAAGTAAAACATATTTTGACAGTTGATCTTAAAACTTCTTGGGCAGTGGTGGTGCACGTCTTTAATCCCAGCACTTGGGAGGCAGAGGCAGGTGGATCTCTGTGAGTTCAAGGCCAGCCTGGTCTACAGATTGAGCTCCAGGAAAGGCGCCAAAGCTACACAGAGAGACCCTGCCTCAAAAAACCAAAAAAAAAAAAAAAAAAAAAAAAAAAGCTTCATGTTCGTTTTTTTAAATAAAATATGTTTGGCTAGGGAACTTACTTTAATTGGCCAGTGGAAGACATGGTCCTAGCCAGGAGCAGTTTACCTCCTGTTGAGGGAGACTAGACAGATGATTTTAAAATCCTAAATTACCACAGGGTGCTGCTGGCTGGGGGAAAAAGCTATCTTATAAACAGACTTGCTCAGAAACATGTGAAAGGCCCAGGGGATGGACTATGGGGAATGTCTGTACTGTTGGAGAAACATCACCATTTGTCACTGTAAAGTGCATACATACCACCGTGGGTCTACAATGATGAGTACAAGTCTTGAAAGCTTTATAAAAGGCAACCAAAACCTTGTCAAGCATACATAATGTCTCCCTAGCAAGAGAAGAGTCGGAAATATAGAGTGGTGGAAGCAGGGAAGGCTAATGGAAACCTGTGAAAGGCCCTTCAACCACACAGTGGCAAGACAGAAGGAAGACTGCAGACACAGATCACAATTCACTTATATAAATGAAAATAATTTTAAAAGATACATTATCTATATACCTATATATCTATATACCAACAATATAAGTCAATGTAAATAGTTTAAGAAAAGTACAAGTAGGAGAAGATATGTAAGTTTTCAGTGGCTGGTACAATATGAGAGCTGTGCTATGTTGCAGCACAGATTAAAACACATCACTAAGTAGATCCACAAAATCCACAAACCCCATCATTCAAGGTGAATGGGGCCAAAGGGACACAGTAAATACACTGTCTGTTGAATATGTCTTCTTAGTTCAAGTCTAAATAAAACCTTGTTCATGTATTTCAAATTTGATTTGATATTAAATATTTCTGATCAGTTTTGAAAACTTTTGATCAGTTGCAAAAGCAAATATAATTGTAAATTCAATCACAAAGTTCAAAAGGCCTAGTATCTTAAGGCAGTTATTATGGGATACAGATACATCCTATAATCACTGTTTTCTTAATAAATACAGACATATAATTGGGTGCACACAAGTTACGACCTCATTGTGCAAGTCACAAATTAAAGAGGCCACAGAATTCAAGCCTGCATAAATGTGGGGATTGTCATATTTCCAGGTCACAGTGCCACCCAGTAATAATCTAATATGCCCATGCATGGGAGATCATGAGAGAAAACCAAAGGATGGCCTGCATTCTAGAATCCCAGAGAAGGAGTGATTCAACAGTTTGCATGTATCTTTGAAGCAATGTTCATGGCCCTTCAGATCCATCATCTGAACAGAGCTATTCTGACGTAATAAAAATGATCTGTGATTATTTGACATTGCAAATGTCTAATTCCTCATAGATAAAAAACCATGACTACAAAAAGTAAAATCCCTAGGAATACTCTCCAAACCAGAAATTAAATGTTATTTAAGTGGATTGATGGAATAAAGAAGAGCTCAGAGTAATAACATCTTTAAAAATGTAGCTCAAATTTAGTGTTGAAGTTTTGTAACAGATATCCTTATTCTCTCATTCTTAAAGATCTCAACACTCCCCAGTCCATTCTCCAAAAGCAAATCTAAATGTCTTATGATATGTAGTTACTATTTCTTTACTATCAAAACACTGAATGGTTTGGTACAAAGCATGAGTATGGCTGGTCATATTACCATTAAAATGGATAGGCCCTCTTTCTTGATATTGTGTTGGCTGCTGACAGGTAAGAGTGTCTCACATTGCCCACTTTGAGCTGGGCATAGCAATGCATGCCTGTCATCCCAGAGGTCTGAGGCACGAAGATCACAAGTTCAAGGTCACTCTGGGCTACATAGAGAGACTCTATATCCCAAAGCAACAACAACAACAAAAAGTCACCCACTTAATTTTTTTCCAAATTATTTCTTGTTCTAATAAGTCTATTAAAATAAATATATGCATACAAATAAGTAAAGCTATGTTTTTGTGAAGTTCACTGATTTTGTATGAGCCACTCAGCCTTAGCTCAGATGTACCCAGTTTTGAAATTTCATGTCAATGGATACTTTCTAGTTCTATACAATTAAGCATTTTCTCTATAGAAAAAAAAATCAATATCTACCATCCTGCCAAATGCCAAACACTCTCCCTTATTTACATGGTGTTCAGTCCAGAATTCAGTCTCTAGTTCTATAACAACCAACTTCTAAGATGGATCCCACATACTCAAACAGATACATTAAAATACATTAAGTATGGGCTTAACTATATTTTAAAACTTCACCCAAAAGCAATTTGCTTAAATCTGTATTCTAAAATATTCCACCAGCTATCACTTCTGACTAGTCGAAACCTGAGGAGAGAACTGACTCCCAGGTTGTCTTCCTAATCTGCACTCATGTGTGCAGCCAGCCACATTTGCAAACACACACACACACACACACACACACACACACACACACACACACACACACACCACGCCCTTTAAAAATGAGCTCTAAAATTCCCTAAGCAACACATCAAGTCTACACACAATCTCCTTCCTAAAAGAATGCCTTCCCCAGACAGACACGCGTCACAGTCACTGCTTTAATGGAATTACTAAGAAAAATATGATTTCAATCCAAGTAAAATTTGCATTTGTGTTCTTAACAAAGATAACGCTCTAAGGAGATGATTTTACATTCGCCAGCCCATCTGTCCCTTCACTAATCCACGCTTTATAATATGCAATCTCTTGCCCATTCCAACCAGTCTACACAGCACAAGGAGTTTTTGTCAATAATAACAAACTCATTACATCAGTTGTCTGCTGTCACATGGGAAAATGATAGTTTACACAAAGTTTAATTCTATAACTAGCCTCTTTGGTATCAGATAGAAAACAAACTTCCCTCAAGCACACTGCAAACACTGCCTATTCTCAAGAGATAAAGAAAACAGTAATTTCCGATACAAGCCAACAAAATCTAATTGCCTCCGATAACACTGTGAAGCCCCAAAATGCCACAATCCTTCATGAGAGGCAAGCAATACAACTAAACAATATAAAATATCCAAAATTCTAGTGCCATTTCCTTCTTTGAATTTTAACATAAGATACTTTATATGGAACTTGTAATCTTTGTTGAAAAAAATAAAAGCATATTTTATACTTTCTTGGTGTTTCTGTACTCAAAGTATAAACAAGTGACAAATGGCAATAAAAGACATTACAAAAAATAGATCTACATTTCCTGGACAAAGAGGTTGAAGCAAGCAAACAATATGCTTGGGCTGCTGACCATCACGCCTCATATGCTCTGCACCATGGTACAAGTCCTTGGTTTTCCTTGGTGACCCGAAGTGAGGAAGGCAGACCTAGGTTGTCCTCTTAGGGATCAGGCTGAGAAGGGTGGTTTCACTATTACCAGACTCGTTTACTGGTTCTGTAGATACTATAGGAAACTTTGCAGGCCTCCTAAATATTCTATTCATATTTATTTATAAGAAAATGTCATCAAATAATTCAATTCCCTTAAATACACTTATGTAATAATCTAGAAAAGCCACAAATGTAAAAGCAATTCTGTTTACATCTCCCCGGGTCATGTTGGGATTTCCGGTTACCAAGAAAAAGTATTCCCGTATTTATTTTCTTTAAGGGGAATCTGTTTGTTCAAAGAAATTATATAACCACACCTAAGTTTAGTGGGGGGAAAGACTTTTTTTTTTTTCAACATTCCTTAGCTTCAAGGTTATGAGTTACTAATGTAGCTTACTTTTTGGAAGCCTCCAGGGGGAGATTTTTAAGAAATAATAAAGAGCTGCTTTAGAAGGGTTTTATAAACACTTGGGCAACAACATCTATGGGCAAAGGACAGGGTGAGTCAGTGGACATAACTGCAAAAGAAAAGAGATTTGTTGTCCCCAATGCTGCCTCAGAAAACCCAGTTGCTCAAGTGGAAAGTGGGCCATTCCGGGAGCAGGTGCGGGCCCACCCCAACTCATTCCATTCGCAACACTCATGACACATTTGCTCCAGAGATCAGAGGTCAAAGGTCCGCCCCATGGCACTCTCTGAAATCTACCTAGTCCACAAGGGTTGCCAACCGTCCTGACAGGGATGGGCACGAGTGGGCATGATCTGGGGAGGGGTTAAAGGGCAAGGTTGTTTGACCTGTGTTAGGCAAGTTTCTCTTTCTGCAAGTAAAATCCTCAATGTGACAGGCAATCTCTGCCGTCAAGGTGTGGGAACAGCAAAAAGAAACTAAAGAGGCCTGGACATTAGAGGATACCGGAAGACAGGGATGACAGCTCTGCTTTTCTGGTCCGATGAAGGGGTCTTCACCTCTTCCGGCCCCATACAGGCAGGGGGGGTGGGGCAGCACGAAGAACAGTGTTCATTTAGTCCCTTCTACACACACCTCCCAAGATCGCCTGGCCACATGGGCCTCACGCGTCCAAGTACCCTCCTGTCATGAGGCAGGGTGCAAACCGGCCACTGGGCCTGCCAGGGGTGGCTGGAGGAACCCACACACAGGACCAGACGGGCACCCCTGGAGTCCGAGGCCCGAAGTCCTGTTGTCCCCTCGGCCTGCAGCGGCCACGATCGCAAGGGGCAGGAGGCAGCCCCAAGCTGAGGTTCTGCACAGAGGGTCAGCCCCCCACCCCCGACCCCGACACACACATTTATACACAAGAGCTTTTACACCAGCACCGTTCGCGGAAAGTGCTCCCGGGCCAGGCCTGCCACGGTGACCAGTGCAAGACCCTGGCGCCCCAAGTACTCAGCACCTCGCGGAGAACTGTGCCCGCCCTTCTCCAGCACCCGCTTACCCGGTAGGGGGCTTGGCCGCCAGTGCGTGCGGCGCGTCCATGGAGCCGGCGGGCTGCGCTCCGGGCTCTGCCGGCCGAGTGAGGCGCTGGCTGCGGCGCCGCCGTCCTCATTCACTTTTTCCGCGCTGACCCATCGTCCTCCCACGCGGGCTTGGCGAGGATCAGCGGCCGTGCCGAGAGGAGAGGACGGAAGCGACCGGAGGCGTCCGGGCGGGCGGGGGCGCGGGGAGGGACCGACGCGGCTGGCCGGGACGCGGGAGCAAGGTGCGCCGCGCCCCCGCCGAGCTGGCTCAGCCGCGCCCACCGCGGCACCGCCCCGCGCCCGCGCGCCGCTCCCCAGCGCCCGCCTCCCCGCGCGCCCCCGCCGCCGCCCGAGCGCACCTGGGCGGGGCGCGCACCCCGCGGTGGGCACCGGCTCGCCGGCCTGCCTGCCTGCCGGGCGGGTGGTAGGAACTGGGCAGGGAACCACCTGGCCACCTGTGGCTGTGTAGGGCGAGGCCGGTGGACTAGCTGTCGAGAATTGAGTGGAAGAAACAGAGAGGCGTACCTGGGGCCCCAATTTCTGTCCCGGAACCTAAAAGAAGCTTTGTCAGTGCCACAGGGCTACTGCGAGGGGCGGGGAGAGTGGTCCATGAGGTTCTAGGTGTGCAGCACCGGGAAGTGGAGAGGGATGTAGTTTGGGGTGCAGGTACACGTTCCTGAGACATCAGAAAGCAGTGAGGCTGGTTCAGACCTGCTGTGCCAACAAGAACTGCACTGGGTTGGATGCATGCTTTGATTTGCCAGCCTGGTTGACTGGATAGTAGTGGACATTACTGTGGCGACTCCTGTGCGGACTGGTGGGCAAAAATACCAGCAGAGGCAGCAGGTGCTGAAACCTCAGGGCAAGTCAACCTAAAGGCCCAGATCCACCAAACCTCACCTCTCCACACTGCTAATTGACACCAGGGGAACAGGAAAAGAACCTGGTGGCTATGAAGTTCAGCCCTACAAATACAGCAATTGTACTAGGTTCTTCGAGTTAGAATAAAAGACTAGTAAGATGCAAGATTCTGTGACTGGACTCGGTATTCAGAAGCCAGCCCTAAGCCTTTCTGCCTCTGAGCCCCAACTTTCCGATTAAGGAAAGATGGGAAGGTCAGACTTTGTACAAAATGTAAGTCCTGGGGTGGTTGCAAAGCCTTCAGTTCCCCCAGCCCCAGTGCCCACTCAGAACAGGTGAGCCACTTCACACCTGCAGCATGGCCTGGCCTCATTCTGAATGCAAATACTCAGAGCACTTTCCCACCCTAGGGCCTCTGGGATCTGTATGAACCCTGCTGGCTCTACTCGGATACCTGCTACTCAGGGAGGCCTTTTGTGACCCCTTTGCACTAAAGCACAACCCCATTCTCAATTCCCATCTGCTTCTTGTCCAGTGTCTTGAATTTGACACTCTTGCTCATTGTCATTGTCTTGATGTTCCTCATGGATGCTTATCACTTTAGTGTGTGTGTGTGTGTGTGTGTGTGTGTGTGTGTGTGTGTGTGTGTATGTTTATAAAGTGCTTCCATGTATATGCATACAAATTTTATATTTATATAAATAAATATGGGTGTGTGAATTATATATACATGGGATATAAGTATATGCATATGTCCATACTGTATTCGATATGGTTTTTTGTTTTTATGTGTTTGACTTGGGTTTCTTTCCTGAGAATGTGACTCGGTGTTCGAACAGTGGGCCTTGTCTGATTTTTTTCATTACTCTCAACATTTAGGAGAGCAAGTGAGGGTGGATTAGGGCTCACTACATAAAGAGAACATTGAGTGAATGAATTTCTAGGCTGCTTTCCAGCTCTGGGTGTGGGTATCAGAAGTTACCTCCTGGAATCTCTAAGATCTCTCCATGCTCTGGACACTACTGTGGGAAAGAGTAGCCTGGGAGAGGCCAGCAGGCCAGGAACTAGGGATCTAGACCCCAGCGAATATCTCAAGAAGTATCAGTGGCTCAGATGGTGGGCAGAGATAGCAGCTAGAAGTCATGAGCACGGAAGGCAGTTGGTTCTCAGAGAGAGAGAATACCACACAAAAAGAATTAGAGGAAGTCAGGCACTGTCCACCTCAAGGCTGAGCTTCCCATTTCTGTCCTAGGAAAAAGGCCCTGGTAGCATTGGGCTTGGACAACTTCCAATTCTAGGGAAGCCACTAAACACCATAATCTGAGAAACCCAAAAGGGAAGTGGAGTGGGTGGAAGAAACTGAGAAGACTTACCACAGTGAAGCACAAGGCAAGGTTGGGGCTTAATACCCGTAGGCAGATCTAAGCTCCTGATGCCTCTGCTCGGAATGTAAATAGGCCAGCCCTGACAATCAGGACCCAGCTTCCCTTATGGAAAGGGTCCCAACAGATCCATCTATGCACAATTGTTCCCAAAATCATATCTTTCTCACAGGTACCTATGAAGGCCGGTAATAGGTAGAACCAAACAGGGAAAACAGAAATAACACGCAGAAGGCATAGCTCTTTGAGACAGAGGCTGTAAAACAAAGGTCTGAGGAGGATTCTGTACAGTACCACATGCCGAGATGACTTGACCTTGGAGGTCACTGGATGCTTTCATGTACACCTTGATCTGAGTAGAGCAAATAACATAATGACATGTTAGGACACTGATTCCAGGAAGAGGATGATTCCTCCCTGCATGCACTTTAAAATGCCTTTCAACAAACCAACACTCTTTCAAATATTGACCTTCACAAAATATTTTATAGACCTGCAAACAGCCAAGATATTCTGATAATTATCTGTAATTGCTGAGGGGGTAAGGATGTAGTATTTGTCAGTTTGCATGATGTGACTAGTCCACATGGACTGATGATGTCAGGTTCCCATCAAGGTGTTCCTGAAGGAAGAAGGGGGAGGCAACACGCTTGCACTTCTTCAGATCTCAACTTCCTATGTGCTACACAAAGGCTGTACCTCTGTCCCTTTCATCCAAGAGCACAGCTAAGCACTAGCTGTGCATCTCGGGGTTGGGACTGGTGAGGCTGATGACTCAGGGGAAAGAGCCAGCACCAGAGTCCAGGTCACTGGAGGGACTTTCTTGTCTTACTGTGTCCCAATCTCCCCTTTCCCTTCTACCTTTCCTCTCAAGTCTTGCCTTTCCTCTGGGAGGGACACCTGGGACCTCAGAGGCCCTACTACTGTACACCCAGACCATATACAAGGTGCCCAGGATGGCCCAGGGTCACCACAAGGGGACATAAAGATGGGTAGAGGTGAATCTAGCTAGGTCGGTGCTTCCTGAATTAGAATGTGAGAAGGGTGCAGATTCTGATCCAGTTAGTGAGGCACCTGAGAGCTTTTGTTCCTAATGGGCTCTCAGGGATGCAAAATTTGCTGGCCCAGGGACTGAAGGTCACACACAGTAGCTTCTGGACTGATCCTGCACTGACTGGTAGTGTTGCCAGCAGCAAATTCCTTCTCTCTAAACATTCATTTCCTCCTGTGCAATGTGAGAGCAACCTAAACGGATCCAGGTTTTGTGGGGCCTTAACCTTACATGATTTCAGGAACCTTTTAAAAATAATAACATGATTGATACAAATTGTAATTCTAAGGTGGTTATTTATTGTATGGATAAAATTTTGTGGCCTTCTGAAGAATAATAAAGTCCTAGTCTATAATCCACAGTATTTGGAGAAAGGTTCTAAGTCAGTAAGATAAAACAATAACATGCTGTTGAATCTCTACTCCATTGTGGTAGATGTCCTATAGGAAAAAAAGAAATACCAGCATTCTCAGTATGCTCAACAAAGGCCACCCGAGGACACAGTGAGAGGTTGGCGGTGTGGAACCCAAGGAGAAAGTCCTCACCAGAACACAAGCCCAGCAGCATGTCAATCATGTCTTTTTCAGTGTTCAGAGACATTAGAAAATGAATTTCTGCTTTTTAAGCTACCCATTCCATCGTATTTTTGTTATGGCAGTCTGAAGAGACTGAAAAAGATTTAGAAAATAAACCATTAAAACAATTGTTCAAAGTTGACACACCACTAAAAACCAGCAGGTTGCTAGCATATCAGTAAGTCAGCTCCCCAGGGGTAAGAATAAAGAGTAATATTTATCTCACATGTCTGGGTAAGGATTAAACAAGATATCACTTATCAATGGCTTACGGTGGCACCTGGCACTCATAAGCAATCAATTCTTTTTAATTCTGATTGCACAGATTAGATATTCGTTTTTCTTGAGGTGCATAGTTCCCTTCAAACGTGTGTGACCAGAGTTCTAGCTCCTTGAACCATTGCTAGAACATAAACAAAAGCCACACCCCAGTCATTTTGCTCTGGCAGGTGACACGAGTTGGGTGGTGGCGGGAAGGTTATTGGCGGTAAACAGTGCCAGAGCAGGGATGCCTTTCTCCTCACGGGAGTGAAGCTTGAGAAGTAACTCGGGACCAAAGTCTCTTCTTCAGCCATCTTGCTTGGGTGCTTGAAGTCCTAGGAACCACTTTCCTGGGGAGAGTGTGAGTTTCACAGCTGCAACTGTGTGTTATTTCTGTGCAGCTTGTGGCACCCACCTGGAGTCTGCAACAATTTTAGGCCCAAGGTCTCTTGAGAAGAGACCTGATAACCCCATGTCCTGACATCCATGTTGCTATTCCATTCTCAACTCTACTTCAAGGTAAAGGCTGAACTGCTTTCTTGTTGCTAGTTTTGGCTCTTTTGGGGGGGCCTGCCACCCAGCTCCCAAATAAATCACACAGGGAGGCTTATTCTTAGTTATACACGCCTGGCCTTAGCTTGGCTTGTTTCTTGCCAGCTTTCCTTGACTTAAATAACCTGTCTACCTTTTGCCTCTGGGTTTTTCCAGTCTCTTATTTCTGTAAATCTTACTCTTACTCTGTGGCTTGCTGTGCAGCTGGGTGACTGGCCCCTGGAGTCCTCCTCCTTCTCTGGCTACCTTTATGTCTCCTCCCTCCAGATTTCTTCTTCTATATATTCTCTCTGCCTGCCAGCCCCACCTATCCTTTCTCCTGCCTTGCTATTGGCCAGTTCTTTATTAGACCATCAGGCGTTTTAGACAGGCACAGTAGCACAGCGTCACAGAGTTAAATGCAACAGGAACAAAAGTAACACACCTTAAAATAATATTCTACAACACTTTCTCTTTAGGATGGTATCCTCAATGATTAATTTTGAGTGTCAACTTGATTGGATTGGGAAGTGCCCGGGGATCAGTAAAATACATCTCTGGGCATGTTAGTGTGGACATTTCCAGAGAAGATAAGTTAGCTGAGAGGGGAAGCCCTACTTTGAATTCACTGTCCTCTCTGAATGAAATAAACTGGGAAAAAGGAGAGAGCCAGCTAAGGGCAGTCATTCTCTGTCTCTCTATTTGCTGCAGTGGGATTTGCTCTGTTCACCCCATCCTCTCCACCACAAAGGAATGACGCATCAGGCACGATGAGCAAAAGAAACCCTCCTTCTCTTAAGTTACATTGCCCGTTCTGTCACAGCAACTCAAAGGCCCGCTAGCCCATGTGTCTTAGCCAGTTTTGTGTGTTCTACAACAATACTTGATACTAGGTAATGTATAAAAAACAGAGGTTTGTTTATATCACAGCTTTAGAGGCTAAAATTCCAGGATTGTGTTGCCTAATCCCATAAGGCTGCCTATGTCGTAGCATGATGGATGGCATTACAGAGGAGCAGAGAGATGGAAGTGAGGAATGAATAAAGGGAGGGACCAGACTTGTTCTTTTACAACAACGTTCTCTAAGTAGAATAAACCTGATTCTAAAAGAACTACATGACTCCCTTCAAATGGTGGTATTCCATAAGCTAATCAAATCATAAATGTCTCAGTATGTCAACACCATTGCATTAGGGACAAAGTTTTCACCATGTGAACTTTTGGTGGCAAATCATATCTAAAACATAACAGAATCAAGTATTTAAATGGCATATTTTACATGCTTCTTGGAGCCCATTTTCAGGTTTCCTAGTGGCTTTACCCAGCAGGTCTGCATAGAGAGAATGATTGGACCACGGGCCTGGGTGCAAGTGTCTGAGATGGTCTGCATTTGGCTGTTGCGGGGGAGGTCTTTTGTTCTACCCCTTGCCTTTCCTTTAAATACCTTAGGGCAGAGACAATTGAGGCCTGATGGATTCGGATCCAGGCCCTCTAGAGGCTAGCCTGTATTTTCTGTTTCTCTCCCCTCTATTCTTCTATCTAATACTTCCTGCTGCTCCTACTCGAGTACTCTGGGGAAATGTGGGGGTGAGGGATGGCCCCCCACACATGCTATCATTAGGTAATAATGATGGCTTAAATGTTTGTATAGATTGCTTCTCTTTTATGGAAAATACAGTTTACATTCCATGAGAGTCATCCCTTTTAAGACATACAGTTTGGGACTGGTGTGGCGGCTCAGTTGGCAATGTGTTTGCCAAACATGAGAACCTAGGCTTGATCTCCAGAACCTAGGTCAAAAAACCAGCAGCATGGTCAGACACGCTCATAATCCCAGCACTAGAGAGCAGAAATGAGCAAATCTCCAAGGCCTGTCAACCGCCAGTGTAGCCTAATTGGTGAGTTCCAAGCCAAGTGAGAAGCCTTGTCTCAAGAAAACAGTGGAGTACAGCTAAGAAGTGACATACTAGGTTGACCTCTGGCCTCCAGGTGTACACACACACACACACACACACACACACACACACACACACAAAAACACACAAACACACACAGGAAAAAGAAATAAAGAATGCAGTTTAGTAGGTATTTGTATGCATGTAGATCTTGGCAACAACCACCACCATCTCATCCCAGATCATTATAATCACCCCCAAGTAAGCCCTGTATCTATTGGATTTCATTATTTGGGACCATTAATCTCCCTTATTAATTTGCCTATTCTGGACAATTTATATACATGACACCATACAACAAATGGTCTTTAATGGCTGGATTATTTTACTTAGGATAATATCATCAAGGTTTATCCACAGTGTAGCACATGTCATTATCTCATCTTTTAATACTCAAATCATACTCCATTGAATGTACAAACGACATTGAATTTAACTGTGGATCAGATGATAAACATTAATTGGATTTCTGCTTTGGACGTTATAAACACTGCTGCTGTGCTATACATATTGAAAACTGTGTGGATGTATATTTTGGGTTCTCTTTGGGTATGTACTTAAGAGGCATAACCAGACAAATAGGTAACTCCATACTTATTCCTTCCAGGGTTCCCTTGAAGAAATGCAAAGCTGTTTTCCAAAATGGTTGCACTATTTTACAGACTTGCCAGCAATGGATGAGGCTTATGGGAGGAGTTCCTATCTTACTCTACTTCAAAATCACAGTCTGTGAGCTGAATCCGTGTCTCCACTTTGCTTCATTTATTTCCTTTGAACCCCCACCCCCAGCAATTAAACAGTATAGATACTCATTTGTCTCTTCCTCTCTTTGAGTAATAATTATAATAACTTCATGTACCCAGTGGACAATACCCCAGTGTTTGTTGAACCATAGCAAAAGTTAATATTTAAAAGCAGTGGCTATAGGGGCTGGTGGTGGACAGTTGCAGGGTCCAGCATGTGGGTGAGATTCAGCATCCAATGCTGCAAAAAGTAAAACAAAATCAAAATACAACAATTAGATGCCATGGACTATGATAAACTTGTTAAGAAATGCTAATCACTTAATGTTTAAGGAAACCCCAAAGGGCTTGAGTATAGCTCAGTGATAGGGTGCTTATCTGGGTTCTATCCCCAGCACTGCCCTCTACAGAAAATCAGCACAAAACATAGGTATCATTGCTGTCACCATTTTACAATGGGGAAAAAACAAGAGTTTGGGAGCCTCAGAAAGTTATTCATGTTTGCACAAAGCAAGGGCTTGTTCCCTGGAATCTTACCCTGGATACTAGGCTCTTCACCATCCACAAAGCACAGTTGCTCTCATGTATGCCGGCTGCCCAGCTCTTCTGACGATGATTCAACACAGAAGTAGCGCCAACACTTAGAGTTTGTCGGAAAGTGTGTGCTGTGCTTACAGCCAAACAGCAAACGGAGAGAATGTGTAGGTGTGGCTCGCCTGCCACGTTGTCATGAAGCTTTATTTAAGCCACCAGCTGTCATCATTTTTCTTCTGATGAGATCATTCTGGGAGCTCTGCTTCTGGTTGAGGGAAGCATCGCTTGGCCGCTCTGCCTTGATGTGCAGTCGGGGTGAACTTATATAACATCGCACCTCCACCCTCAGCCCACACGAGGATTATGCAACTGCGTGTAGGATTCTTTGCAGGGGTTTCCGGAAATATGAGCCTGCACAGAAAAGGCATCAAGCTGTTCTGACTAAAGAAGACTTCCCGACCTGGGCCTGTGTGTGTGTTCTGTCTCTATGAAGTATTTTGCCTCAAAGAACTTGCCTGGTTAAAAGTCAGCAGAAAGTAAATCTCAGAAGTCAACAGATAAGTATGTCCTCTGTTATAGCTCTGTTCTGTTCTGCTTTAATGCTATTCTGAAAAATCAGAGATGGATTTATCACTGGTCCCTCTTATATACCTCCTTCATTGCTACAAACTCTCTATTTCCTAACTTGACCAAGAATGAAGAGATTGGTGAATGGAACTACATTCTAAATTTTGTTTATAGTTTGAATATTGGTGGTGTTTTGTATCAAACCATGAGATTCTAACTTGAATGAAAAATGTCATCTTTCTAGTAAGCCAAAACTCTGCATTTACACAAGGAAGAAAGAGGAGGGAGTCGTTTCTGAATTCCTGCATTCCCAAGTATTTAATATTTAACAGGGATCCCAGATAGCACCTATACTTTGGTCTCAGGCTGTACCAGGCATACCAGACAAAAGAAGGAGTTGGGTTGTTAAGACACCCATGTCTGGAGAAGCTGAGGAAGCTTCTAGCAGAAGTTTATCCCCGGGGTTGAGGGTAGAGAAGAGCAGAGGAAGTTCAAGAGCACTCTCAGCATCAAGGATGGGGGAATGCAAAAACCTCATACGTGTCATAGTGTCATACATGTTGTGTTTTGCTTCAGTCTTTCCTAGTCCCAACAGGTGTGGGGCAGATCAACATCTAAGCCACATTGTCTTACAGTGCAGTTGTGGAGGAAAGCCCCAGCACAGGGTTTCAGCAGAGGCGACCGCACCAAAGATGGTCATTGACTAAACGAGAGGATCTTGGGGAGCCACCACTCGTGGCAGGACCACTGATCTGTGAAGTATGGAAAAAAACATCTTGGGGGAGTTTCAGAGCTATGGGTGCCTTGGAGATCCTTAAGGATACTAGGATAGAGGTAAGGACACTCTCTTTGTTATGCTAGTTAGGCATTCTTTTCATTCATTGTCTAGGACAGCCAAGAGAACCTCAGCTGTGGAGCGAACAATTTCTCCAGGGATATTTTCAAAGACCTTCAAGATTCTGCAGATTCATAATGACAGAAATGGTGATGGAGGGTCCCAGCCTCCTTCAGAACAATACTCCAGGGAAGAGGACTCTCTGACATATGTGCATGCCGTCACCACAAAAGTTCATTATGGAAGCCAAGCACTGGACCGAGCCCTGGGAGTCAAGTTGAAGAGAGGGAGGAGGGATTGTATGAGCAAGTGGGGGGGGGAGGGTCAAGATCATGATGGGGAAACCCACAGAGACAGCTGACCCAGGTCGTGAGAGCTCAGGGACTCTAGATGGACAGCTAGGGAGCCTGCATGGGACCGACCTAAGCCCTCTGCATACAGGTGATAGTTGTGCAGCTTGCTCTGTTTGTGGCCCCAAGCAGTGAGACCAAGATCTGTCTCTGGTGCATGAGCTGACATTTTGGAACCTATTTCCTATGGGGGGATGCCTTTGCTCAGCCTTGATGCAGTGGGGAGGAGCTTGGTCCTGTCTCAACTTGGTATGCCTTGCTTTGTTGACTCCCATGGGAGGCCTTACCCTTTCTGAGGAGTGGATGGGGGGTGGGGGTAGAAAGGAGGTGGGGAGAGGGAATGGGAGGAGAGGAGAGAGGGGAAACTGTGGTTGGTATGTAAAATAAATTTTAAAATTTAATTTAAAAAGTTCACCGTGGTTGGATAAGCTTCAGGCGCAAACAACAGACAGAGCTGAAAGTGTTTTGTTTTTTTTTTTTTTTAACTGTAAAAGCAGCTTATGATAGCTAAGTCAGAAATGCCATGACTGAAATATCTGGAGGTGATGGTATGTCTCAACAGCTGAGGGCTTTCCCTGGGGTGCATCTCATCCCTGCCTGGTGAAATCACACTTTCCATCTTAACTAGATCTTCTGGGATTTTAAAAAATGAAAAAGCAGACTTTGGAATCTTAGTTCAGGAAATGTCACAGCCTATTATACTCAACTTCTAATCCAATGTTTTCCTTTGTTTCACTCATTAAAAGACAGAGAGTTCTCATGGAGGCCATGCCAACATCAGCACGCTAAACTGCAGAAGCAGTGGCTTCCCACACTTCCAGATTAAAAAGTATCCCAAGAGAACAGATCTTAAATGCAGGCAGCTCTGTGATATTCACTCTTCTGAAGGTATTACTTTTATTTTTCCAACTAATCACATGAACATCACAATGGCTTTTTGGCAAACGTTAGGTTTCTTCCTGTGAGGGTCCAGCCCCTGTGGAATGTTCCAAGCACCCTGTGGGAAAGTTATGGGGTAGATAAGATCTTGCTTAGCATCAGCCTCAGAAGGAGTTGCAGCTCAGTGATGAAGTGATGTGTTACCGTCAACCCCACGCAGAGATGGGTTCTGTAGATCCTGTGAATCTGGGTCTTCAGAAGTGGGCTGATGCCTGCTGGTCCCGGGACTTCTCTTGCAGACTCGTGAAGGTGCTTGTGCTTATGCTTCCCAGGTTACAGCTAATGTTGAGCTGTATTTATTTACCCTCCCAAACCCAGAAGCGAAAATGAAGGGACGGGATTGATTCTTGAATTCTGGAATGGAGAGACCCAAGATCACTTCTCTTTCCGTCCTCATCTCTCCTCCAACCTGGGTGTCATAAGGATTGCAGATGCTCCCAGCACAGTCCTTACAGTGTTGCTTCTCTGAGGTCAAAGGTGCCTGAGTCCTACATCTGCACAACTAGTGAAATCATTGAAATAATGCTGAGAAGAATGAGACGGCCAATTCTCGGTGGCTCCCTACCTCCATTCGGGTCTTGCTGCAGCTGTCACTCTTTAAAAAACAGAAGGTAATAAAGCTGCTTTTGGTCACCTGGGGGATAGTGATTCGACTTTGTTGACACTAGTCTAAAAGTGGGATCATGACTTGATCATTTTCATCTAGGGACTCAGGGAGCAAGGCAGTGGCAGGGCCTCTGGATCAGACACTCAGGGACTTGAATTAGCAGTGTAAGTACTACAAGAGAAGCTAGGCTACCAGGAGCAGAAGCTAACATGGAAAGGCAATGATGGCAAGAATTTACTGACTACATGCCAGTCAGCATTCCATGACTGTGACAAAGTACCTGAATGAATCAATCCATGAAGCAGAGCGTTTGTCTGGGCTTCCAGTTTCAGTCCATGGTTACGTGGACCTCTTGTCTTGGGCATGTGGCAGCACAACGTACCACAAGAGCAAATGGCATAGTGGTCATACTCACATCATGACCACTGGAAAGCAAAGACAGACAAAGAGAAGCCAGAGTCGTAATGATCCCTTTAAGAGTATGCCTTGAAGGATCTAACTTCCTGCTACTAGTCCTGAGCGCCTGAATGTTTCACCATTTTGCACAAGTGCCATGAGTTATGGACTAAATTTCAATGCATGGCCCTTGTGGAACTTTTCATAAAATGTTATCTTAAAACTCCATACTTCATTTGTTTTTTTTTTTGTTTGTTTGTTTGTTTTTTTTTTTTTTTTTTTTTTTGGTTTTTCGAGACAGGGTTTCTCTGTGCAGCTTTGCGCCTTTCCTGGGACTCACTTGGTAGCCCAGGCTGGCCTCGAACTCACAGAGATCCGCCTGGCTCTGCCTCCCGAGTGCTGGGATTAAAGGCGTGCGCCACCACCGCCCGGCTCATTTGTTTTTAAATTGCTTTAAAAAACAGATGGCCAGTGTCTTTATTTATTTATTTATTTATTTATTTATTTATTTATTTATTTATTTTCTTATTTTACTTTATGTATATGGATGTAATGCCTGTGCCTATGTCTGGGCACCATGTGCCTGCAGTGCCCATAGACTCCAGGGAGGGCATCAGATCCCCAGGGACTGGAGTTCCAGCCAGTTTTGAGCAGCCATGTGGGTACTAGGAATCAAACCTGGGTCCTCTAGAACAGCAGCCAGTGTTCTTTATCACTGAGCCATCTCTTCAGCCCCTGGGGAGCATTGTAGATCCAGACAGTCACAGTTTATTTGTACTTTCATTTCACACCAGTGATTACCAGTGACACACTTTCGAGTCTTCCTCAAGGGTCACCAGACACCATCGTCCAATTTCAAGGAGGTCTGGAGGTATGGCCTCCCTAAAACTTACTGCAAAATGAAACACAGGGGTCGTTCTCAATATTTGAACAGGAGCATTTAAGGTTCTGAATGTAAAGCTTTTTCTTGTCTTTTTTTCTGTACGATTTCCCTTAACTTGTCATAATGATTTCCACTTGGTCATTGTCGTCCCCAGTAAAGAATATTCTGAAACTTTAAATCCTGAACATATATTTTCTTTTGATCTTTTTATTGCATAATGCCACTTCTAAATGAAAATAAAGACAGAGCCAAGAGAGATGGCTCAGCAGTTAAGAGCACTGACTGCTCTTGCAGAGGACCCAGGTTCAGTTCCCAGTACGCACACGGTGGCTCACAACCATCTGTAACTCCAGCTTCAGGGGGTCCTATGCCTCTTCTGCCCTCTGAAGACTCCTGTATGCACATGGTGCACATAGACACACACTGGCATACACACGCAAATATACATAAAATTAAAAGTTTTTAAAAGACAAATTGTCTTTAATTTATATGTAGACTCACCAAAATGACACAGCATCTATTTTGTAGCTCCCACATGTGATGTATTTTGTTCATATCAGAACTTGCTAAATAAAACTTCAGGAAACTAACCAAACTGCTTTTATTTTGTTTCTGTCTATGATTGTATAAGGGAAGACTAAATGGAAAAGGAGCTATGAGTTGCCTTAATTTTCCCTTTCCTTCGTTGTCAATATCTTCTGCTTTGAGTGGTATATATATGAAAGAGAAAATCTCATGACTTCTACATGAGATTAGATGAGGTTAGATATCCTCAGCTAATCCAGTTACTGTCCTGACCAAAGAAGTGTGTGTGTGTGTGTGTGTGTGTGTGTGTGTGTGTGTGTGTGTGTGTCTATGAACATAAGTTTGTGTATATGTATGTGTGTCTATAAACATAAGTTTGTGTGTATGTATGTGTATGTGTGTGTGTGTGTGTAAATGTGTTTCTGTGTGTGTTTGTGTGTGTGATTGTACTTCCCACCAAACTCCCCCAGAAATGGAAGAGGGGGTGATAGTTCCTAATTTGTTCAGAGACATCAGAATTATATCAGAGATATAATTCAGAGAGAGACAACAGCCAGCACTATCATGAATACAGATAGAACCCTGCAACTATAGATGTACAATCAGTAACTGAAGATTCTCTTGAGAAAACAGAATCAGTAAGAGAGAAAGAGAGTGACGGAGACCAAAATTTAAACTAATTGATTGACTTACATGATTATGGAGTCCATGAAATGACCATGGACCACCTACAAGCTGGAGGCCAAGGAAAGTCAGTAACAGTTTCAGTGCAAACCTCAACATGTGGAAACTAGGGGAGCCAATGGTGTAAGTCCGTGTCTTGGCCCAAAGATCTTGCAAATCACAAATAGAAGAAGATGGATTCTGCAGCATCAATGGAGGAAAGGATTCATTCTTTCTCCTCCTGTTTCTATCCAAGGCCTCAGTGGACTGAATGATACCATGATACCCACGTGCCTTAAGGAAAGCAATCCTCTTTATTCTGTCACCTCATTTGAATGTTAGTTTCTTTCCCAAACTCTCTCACAGACTCTCCAAGGACATGCCATTTGGATGAAGGAATGGCTCAGCAGTTAAGAGCACTTATTGTACCCATTAAACCACAATTCCTCAAGTTCCTGCTTTCCCTCCAGCCCTGGTAACCACCATTCTACTTTCCATGAATTTGATGACTGAGTGAAAGTGAAATCATATAGTACTGGTCCTTTTGTGACTGGGTCATTTCACATAGCCTAACATCCTCCACCTTGTATATTGCAGCGTGTGTCAGCAAACCCTATTTTAAGCTAAATAATACACCATTGTCTATATCCGCTGCCTGGATTACAGCTATCACTTTGCTATTGTGCATGATGTTGTCAACATAGGTATAGTTCTTCCTTTAAGAGCTTACTTTTAGGAGCTCATAAGGTGGTTCAGTGAGTAAAGGCACCTGCCACCAAGCCTGATGACCTGAATTCAATCCCAGAGCCTCGTGGGGTGAAAGGTGAGAACCCACTCCTGCGGATGATTGTCTGACTTCCCCACAGCCACTATGGTCCACGAACTCAACACACAAAAAAATTATTTTTTTAAAAGACCACTTCAACTACGATTAATAATATGAGGTTGGGGAAGTAGAAAGGAACACTTGCTGCTCTTCCATAGGACCACAGTTCAGATCTCTGCATACATTGTACAATATACAGTCATTTGTTACTCCAGCTCTAGGGAGTCTAATGGCCTCTTCTGACCTCCATGGACACTAGCACACATGTGTGCATGCATGTGCACATACATACATACATACATACATATATACACATACATAAAAATAAAACAACAAAAACTATATCACTATTTGCCAGATATTAAGACAAACTTAGATTAGCGAAATGGTCACATAAAAGGAATGATCCAAAGCTCACTTCTTATCAACTTGGTGCTCAGCCATATCACCTTAATCCAAACTAAACCTCCAAATAAAGACAATTGTAAAGTTCTATTTAGATCTAACACAACCCAGCTCTCCTGTACCCAAACAAAACTGACTATTCCCTTCCCAGAATCAATGGTAAAGACCCCAAGTAATGTTTACTCTTCTCCTGGTAGCCCATAACTTTAGTGCTATGATGGGAAACTGACAACATTTATGTAAAATTAGTACATTTTCCCCTTCGTGTTACTGGAATAACACAGGAGCAAAAACAAAGATGCTCGCTAATTATATGTACTATATGCACATAAGCATATTCTCAATTAAATAAGGCTATTAGAATCCTCCTTTCCATGACTAGTCACATGGTCATAGCTGGCATTTATACTCTTCTACTATTAATTCTGTGTCCTTCCAGCAAGCAACCTTTTTCTTTCCCTGGTGGAGTAGCTCAGAGCTGCATTCCTGAAGGGCTGTCAGATGTCCCGACTGGACTGAGCAGCTGTAGTTTTCCACTGGCCTTAATCACGGGGCATTGTAATTCTGAGAAATGCTCTCAGAAATGGTCTGTGCTTCAGAAACACGTCTTCCCCACCTCCATTGTGAAATAGCAAAACAATTTCCCCCTTGGCAGTCTAGATCAACCACCCTAGCCAACATAGTAACTCCCTTCTCAGCCTATTGACTCAGAGACACAAGGAGCCCAAAGTGGCCAGGTGGCAGTGTCAACCTTGAGTTCAATGGAATCATTGTTTTGTTACCTGGTGGAATAATTCTTTGATCTGGAGCTAAGAACCTTAGGCCAACAGAGCATAAGTCTGTGGGAACAGGAAACAAACTTTTTCTAGTAGATTAATAGGGGTGATGGTGTGTGGGGCCACTCCCAGCTCCACCCCTTCATTTCTAGACCCATGCGTTTCAGCTATGAGAAAAACAACACCATACAATAGGACCTGATTCAGAGCATAAGCAGCCTTCTAAAGAACTGTGTCCAGCTTGCAAGAAATGCCACTGAGCAAGTGTTGTTATCCTCAGAAGCCATCCACTATTCTACAGATTAGCTGCTTCAGGGTGCTGAAGTTCATATTAAATTCCATGAGCATGATACCAATGCTATACTTCTCTGGCTGTGAAAAGAAATTTTTGATCAGAGCCAATGTTGTGTGGCATATCATGCTAGATAAGGCTTTCTCTATTTCTAAGGATGGGGGTTTTGAAAAAGATGATGTAGGCAGAAAAGTCAAATCCAGTTTTTAGTAAGAGTCCAGTAAGAATGAAATGATATTTCTCCCACTAAGGAAGTGATACAATATATCCAATATTGCCATATAACTGTCTGATCACTGTCACTACACAGAATAACATCATACTAGGGAATCTGATGTGGTTGGAGCTAGGTCAGCCTTGATCAGAAGCCCATAGTATTAAGCATGTGACTATAGCTGGAAGTTTTCTCTGGTCCCGCCTGGCTCCTGCGGTCCCATGGCTACTCAGACCCAAATGAACACACAGAGGCTTATATTAATTATGAACTGTATGGCCTATGGCTCAGGCTTCTTGCTAGCTAGCTCTTACATCTGAAATTAACCCATTTCTATAAATCTATATTTTGCCACGTGGCTTGTGGCTTGCTGCTACCTTTCCATCTTGCTTCTCCTGGTGGCAGCTGGCAGTGTCTCCTTTGCTCTGTGTTTCTTCTTCCTCTCTCTCTCTCTCTCTCTCTCTCTCTCTCTCTCTCTCTCTCTCTCTCTCTCTCTGGTTAGAATGTCCTGCCTAACCTTATTCTGCCTCACCATTGGCCAAACAGCTTTATTTATCAACCAATCAGAGCAACACATACTCACAGAATACAGAACGACATCACCCATCATGTGATTAACTTCCATCCCCACCACCATAGCCACCTTTGTCCTCG